AAGGACATTCAGGTGGTTTGGAGATACCCTTGTTTTGTACGTACCCAAAGAGAAGAACAAAAATCAGTGAGAAAAAGCTCTGGAACAGAGACTGCAGCTGCATAAGGACTTTCTCATGATCACTTAACATGTATGGAACCCTTATTCCCAGGCACTGTTCTAAGCACTCTACATAGATGGTCTCACTTTATCTTCAACAACCCCAGTGGGTAGGTACCTTTCTTACCTCTACTTAATAGATGGGAAAAAGTCAGCATTAGGAGGTTATATAACTTGCCCAAGGACATTTTGCTGCTAAGTGGTAGGGCCATAACAACGCCAACTCCCATACCTCCTTGCATGTGACTTATGAGGTAAGATATATAAATAATTTAGCAGTGCCAGGCACATAGCAAGTTTTGTTTTGTTGGCAATAATAATAATGATAGTTCCTAGGAAGTATATGTTTCTCATCATGGTGGTTGTAGTTTTCTACGGCTGCCATAACAAATGACCACAAACTCAGTTATTTAAAACAACCCATTTCTCTGCTTACAGTTTTAGAGGCCAGAAATCCAAAATCAGGGTGTCGATAGGGCTATGTTCTCTCCGGAGGCTCAGGGGAGAATCCATTCCTACCTCTTTCTGCTTCTGGTGGCCTCTGGCATTCCTTGACTTGTGGCTGCATCACTCCAATCTCAGCCTCTGTGGTCACGTTGCCCTCTAGCCCATCTCCTACCTTGGTCCTATAAGGATACTTGTGATTTCATTTAGGGCCCTCCTGGATAATCCAGGATCTCTCCTCATCTCAAGATCATTAATGTAATCACATCTTTTGCCATATAAGGTGAAATTCACAGTTTCCAGGGATTAGGGGATAGATATCTTTGGGGGCCAGTAATTAGCCTATCACAGTGGTATCTAAGCATAGACTGGATGACCACATGCTTTTCTTTCCACTATTAGAAAAAAAACTTCATAGAATTCTATGATTTACAGTATTGGTCAATCATAACACCTGTCTTTTCCTTGTAGAATTTTTGTGTATGTGAAAATAGTATTTTAAAAGCCTTATTTTATTTTTAATTGACAGATAACACTTGTATATATTTATGGGGTACAATGTAATGTATCAATACATGCATAATATACATTATGGAATGACCAAATCAGGCTAATTAGCATATTAATCACCTCAGATATTTATCCTTTCTTTGTGGAAAGAACATTTAAAATCTTCTCTTTTAGTTACTTTGAAATATACAGGACACTATTATTAACTGTAGTCACCATGCTGTACAGTAGGGTACCAGAACTTATTCCTCCTATATAACTGAAACTTTGCTCCCATTGGCGAATGTTGCTCCTTTCCCTTCCCCCCAGCCACCTCCCCCAGCCTCTGGTACCACCGTTCTACTCTCTACTCCTATGAGTTTGACTTTTTAAGATTCCACTTATAAGCTCGCTCACACAGTATTTGTTTCTCTGTGCCTGGCTTAATTCATATAACATAATGTCCTCTAGGTTTATCAATGTTTTCACAAATGGCAGAATTTCCTATATGAAAATAGAATATATTTTTAACAAGATGTCAGTTAGAGGTAAAACTTTTTTTTTCCAGATACATAGCCACCGTCCAACACTATTTATTGAGTAACACATTGTTTCCTCCACTGATTTAAAATTCAGTTTTTATTACTTAACTACCATGTAATAACCATTATAGCTAAATTTGCTTCTTGACTTCCATGAATCCACTTTGTAGGTTTCTGCATTTGTACTGTGCCATTTTGTTTACTGTAGCATTAAAGTATATATTTCTAACTGATGAATTGTCCTCCTTTATTATTCTTTGTCAATTTTTTTGATCAATGACTCTTTTACTGTTTTTGTTTTGTCATCATCTATTTCAACTTAAAAAAATCCTTATTATCATTTTAATGTGGTCTTGGGAAGAAGAGGAAAAAAGATGGAATTATTGGTCTGCCATAACAATCCTCTCTCTTTTCTTTTCCTTTTATTTTTTTCTCTCTCCTTCCTTCCTTCCTTCCTTCCTTCCTTCCTTCCTTCCTTCCCTCCCTCCCTCCTTCCTTCCCTCCCTCCCTCCCTCCTTCCTTCCCTCCTTCCTTCCTTCCTTTTTAGTGATTTTACCTATTTCCATTGAGATTTTCTATTTTTTTATTATAATTATATGGAAGCTTAATTCCAGGCACATATATGTAAGAGATAGATATACATATGAATTAAAATCTGGAATAAATGTACATATATTCTTATCTTTCAAGACTTCTAACAATTAAATTTTACAACTATATTCTCAGTTATTTTCATATTTAACCACATATTTTATTGGCTTTATTCATTACATTTTTTATATAACATATCTTCTCCTTTCTTGAATTCGTTATCTTGCCTTATTTTTTTCCTCAGCTGGTCTTCATGTAACCTTAAATTTTTTTTAATAAAGGGTGTTTGGGTGATATAATTTCTGTGTCTTTGAACATACCTGTCTTTTGTCATTGCATAAGAGAAATTACAGTTTGGCAGCTGGCAGATTTCTTAAATTGCAATAACGTTCCCTTAGAATTGTACATAAATTGTACCAGTGTCTTTTAGCATAGTGTTACAGATGAGAAGTATGATATCAGTCTGATTTTCTTTCCTTTTAAGTAACCTGATTTTTCTCCTTTATGAGGAAGCTTGTCATTGTCTTTGCTCTTGGAGTTATCAGAGTACATCTGGAAGTGTGTATTCTTTCAGTAGTCCTGCTGCCTAGCACAGCATTTGATCTAAGGCCTAAAGACTTTCTTCAGGTTAAGGAAATGTTCTTCTGTTATTTCCTTGATTATTGTTTTCTTTTGTCTTCTTTATTAATGATGTCTCCATCTGGTACTCTTATTAGACTAATATTGATTGGATATTCTGGATCTCTCTGTTATATCTTATGTTTTATCTGATTATTTAAATCTCGTGTGTGTGTGTGTCTGTATGGTGTGTGTGCACTTTTTTGGGAGGGGCAGTGGCGTTTCAAAAGGAGCTGATATCCTGCCCCTATTCAACCTTTGGCTTCTATTATATTTGGAACAAACCTGTCACTTTCCAAAGAAGCTGTGGACCTATTTCTGTGTCCACCCATTCTGTGTGGAGAAACTGACCATATTCCTGATGTCCCTTAATTTGCCTTTAAACTGCTGCCTATGATTCTTCTCCAATCCTGATTCTCTGAGTTGGGGATTTTCCAAGACTGTTTTCTGGAAACCTGTACACTTACTTCTTAGGGGTCTGTACTAGTCTGTTCTCACACTGCTAATAAAGACATACCTGAGACCAGGCAATTTATAAAGAAAAAGAGGTTTAATGGACTCACAGTTCCACATGGCTGGAGAGGCCACACAATCATGGCGGAGGTGATGGAGGAGCAGAGGCATGTCTTACATGGTGGCAGGCAAGAGAGCGTGTGCATCAGATCTCATGAGACCATCAGATCTCATGAGACTTATTCACTATCACAAGAACAGCATGGGAAAAACCTGCCCCCATGATTCAATTACCTCCCACCAGGTCCTTCCCACAACATGTGGGGATTATGGGAGCTACAATTCAAGGTGAGATTTGGGTGGGGACACAGCCAAACCATATCAGGGTCTTTGCAGAATCATGAGCTTATCAGTACGAATTAGTTTTTCCTCCCATGTCGCATCTACTTTGTATCTTCCCATATTATTCAAAATGTCTGCTTTATTGATGGCGTCTTTCCCTGGTTCCCAGCATTGCCAGTCATGTTTTGGTCATGTAAATCGTTTTTGGGGGTAAGGAATGAAAGGGAGTAAATATATGAGCCCAATTTACCATTCCCCAAACCAAAAGCCCCAATGTAGAAATAGTGGAGAGTTCTGACACATCATATGGATAGCTGGACCAAATGACCTTCCAGCCTCATCTAACTCCAGGAGGCTTTTTCTTTAAAGCAGCATAATTAAAGGGTTGAGAAACAACTTTTACTGAAAAGGCCAGAGAGATAGAGTTTAGTTTACTCAGGAGAACAGAATAAGGTGAGACTGAAATGGTGAGTCACACTAAGCCTGCTGAAGATACAGCAGGAGGGACTAAGATTAAATTACAGCCCAAGTGATTCATATTGGTCACTACAAAGATCATTTAACCCTTAAAAAGTTGTGTGGCATCATGATACATTGCAAAGCCAAGTCACAAAGCCTCATTTTCTGGAGCTGTTCTCTTTAAAGGTAAGAGGATGGGCTCGAATCACCTTCTGAATTATCTGACAGCCCTGTGACATGATTATACCTTGGTGCCTGAGATGTTAGATGGGAAATAAACAGCAGCATCTAGTAAACTCTCCTGGGGTAAAAAAAAAAAAAAAAAAAATCATGTTTTCACCCAGTCTCACTGAATTTTTTTTTTTTTTTTTTTTTTTAGTGTGAAGAGAGAATGTTTTTGTCAAAAACAAGTTCTCCAGATTTGTAAACCTGATTGGAGACATCTTTAGTTTCTTCTCAAACATGCTGGGAAAAATAGGAATGTCACTGAGATTCCTTCACCATCCCCTTGCAGCCCCTATTCCCCGGGGCTGGGTAGAGGGCGAAGCAGAGGGCAGGGGCTGGACCAGGGAGAGAGTGACAGGCTCTCTGTGGTAGGTCTGTGCCTTGTCACAGAGCCTCCTGGGCTCAGGTCTGTGGTGGCCGCGGGAGAGCCAGCTCCGCGCTGTGTGGCTGGTGACATTTCCGGCTGCCAGGGCCCAGCCAATCAGTGATGGACCCAGCTTGCTTGGGCGATGACACATGAAATATGATAATTTTCTGCCAAACGGCTGGAAGAGGGGAAGGAAGAGAGTGTGTGTGTGTCGCTGGGAGGGGTCCACAGTGGAGCGCCTGCGATGAGGTGGGAGGGTGACAGTGCACTTGCTTTCACGGTTTGCCTGGCAGGACTAGGCAAGGGAGGGAATGGGCTGTGATGCTGGAGCGGCGGTAGGAGCGCCCCTGTAGTTCCCGAGGTGAGCCACTGCCACTGCTCTTAGGCGGGAACCAGCGGAGGAGCAGACAGCGCCATGCTGGAGCTCTGGGGCTGGGGTGAAAAAAAGAAACTGTCAAAGGCATTTGCCTTCTTATCACACATGAGCAAGGTTAGGACTCTTGTTTCTTCTCAGTGCTACCTCTTTAAAAGCCAGAACAAAACTGCAGTAAACACCATCTGGGTGGCTAAAGTACTCGAAGAATAATTTTTTTCAAAAAAATTTAGGCTGGAGGTTGTCTCTCCCCCTATCCTGTTTTTCTACCTCCATACCTTAAAAGTAAAAAACAAAACAACAGAACTCAATGACAAAATCTTGAAGAAGGGCCTAAGTCTGAATCGTAAACACTCTAAGGTTCAGGTGGTAGTTCTGATTCGTGATTCTGGTTGAAAGAAAGTATGTCTTGGAATGCGATGTGGCTCTGGATTATGTTCGAGTTTAGCAATAGTGGCAGAGCTATTCTTTGGTTTGTGGACATGGACCCTGAGCCTGCAGAGCAAGGCAGGGCAGGGCAAGGAGTGCTTATGTTGAGCTCTCAGGTGCAGAGGCCCCACTCCCTTCAGCCACTGTTGAGGCTCCCCGGCCCCTGATCTGCAGCCAGAGGCTGGTGAGGTGTGACACGCCTGCTGACAAGAGTGCCCTGTCTCGTCTGACCCGTGAACATGGGTGTTCAGAAGTGAAGGATCATAGTGTTTACATAACATGCCGATTAGTCACTGAGAAGCTCATCACTGCAATAAATATTTATGGCTTGCATTTGCATTTTTCTCTCTCTCTCCACGTATATATGTATATGTGCATATATTATACATATATATTGTTTTTTAAAAAGCACCAATAAATGAAATCCTTATCACTGCGTGCAAGCCTACTGTGGCTTTAGGCATGGGACTGGCTTCCTGCGCTGGGAGTGACAGCTATTCCGAAGTGATAATTGGTGTACTGTGTCTTTAAAAGGTTAAAACCCCTTTCAAAAAAGGTCTGGACTCCTAGTGGAAAAGACAAGCGAGGCATGGGTTGGCTCTGGATTCAGAAAACAGCTGCTGATTAGATTCTGTGTCTGCGGGCTGAATTTATTCCGTGTTTTTCAGCAGCAGGAATTCAAGAGGGATGCTTCTGTTTGGGTTTCTGATCGTGATTTATATTTATTCAGAGGAATAACAGAGGGTGGATCTGTTCCCGGCGCGAGCATGCTCACAACCAGCCGACTCTCCCATTATCCAACTGCCTAGTTTGGTGCTTCAATGTACATGGCTATTCCGTGTGCCTATGTGTGTATACAAACACGCATGCATGCCTGGATGGACATACGTTTGCACAGGTTATTTTTTAAGGACAATTCTTTCAATAAGGTCTTTACCCCTTACTTGAAACAGGTGTTCATGAAAAAAATGCACAAAATCCTGCCTGGCCGGAATAATTCATGAAGAAGGGGCTGGATCCGTGGGTCAGAGAACACAGGACCAGTTTGCCATCCCAAGGCCGAAGGTAGGGGACTCTGGGTTTTTATTCGGCGGATGGATTCCTTGCGCTGTATTTTACCTTGTGATTGTGTTTTTGCCTGCGGCCGCACGGAGAAGCAAAATAACGAGCTGCGATTCCATTTTGTGGCTGCCTTTCTTAGGCAAGGTGTCCGGCTGCCGAGGCGCAGGGGCTGGCCGGGTGGGCTGCGCGTGGCGGTCGGTGCCCCCGGTGGGCTGAGCGCGCTGCTCGGCCTGGTGCTGGGGAGCGGCGCGAGCCTCAAGTGACCCCCGCGCGTCAATCACAGGCAGTGGCGGCGGCGGCGGCAGCGGCGGCAGGGCTGTAACCCTGTGCGCGCCGTGCGCTCCAGCGCTGCTTGCAGCAAGCTCTGCTGGGCTCTGCACTCGCACACTGGCGGGCCTGCTCCCGAGGAGCCTGGGCTGGGGGACATAGGCATCGCGTCCCGTGGCACCTGCGTTTTTTTGTGTTGCCTTGGCTGCTGCTCCGGGATTGTTTAGGCGGACTCCAGTAGCCTGCTTGGTTGAGAATGAGTTCGTATGATGCTGGCTGCTGAGACAGAAGGGATAGCTTTCTCTTCCCCACTAATCCTAGCCCCCTGAAAATATTCCTAAAGCAAAATCATCTCCCAACCCCCAACCCGACCCAAGCAAACCAAAACCAAACTCCTATTCTATTGGGGATTCTTGCCTCCCTGCTAGCAGAGAGAGTGTCCCCTCCAAGTTATGCCCCACATTTTACCATCTTTTAAATGGAAACACTGATGGTGCCGAATGGTCCCTGATGATATTGTCCAGGCTGCTGAGGACTCATGAGTGTGGCAGTCCCCTGAACCCGCGTAGATTGGACAGAGAGTGGTGGTGCAGAGGAACTTGGAGGCCCAGCATTGGTTTCCTTTAACGTAGCTGGTTTGGTTTCTGTTGCAGGTCAGGAATATTTCTGTGGCTAGGCCCTTCCTTAACTTTGGGGGCAGTGGTTGCAGGAAGAGGGTCTGCAGGTCTGGTCGCTGGGTGAGCAGCACCCAGGCCCTCTTTCTGGTATACCCTGACATTTCTGGTAGCCCTTGGCATTGTAACCACAGCAGCCAGGTGCCCACTAGCTACCTGGAGTGCTTGGGTTTTGTTAACTCTGGTGTGCATTTGGGTGTTGCAGGGGGAGGGAAGAGGAAAGAGGGAGAATGAGGTGTTTGCTGAACTGATCTGCATGTCAGTGTTCTCCAGCCCCTGTTTGTGTGATTATGTAATGATCAGACGTGTGCCCAAACAGCTCCCCACCATCTCCTGGCTCTCCCCCAGACTGAAGAAATTGGGTGCTACAGTTGTTTAAGATATCTTTATGTAATTATGTGTGTGCTGGGGGCAGGGAGAGAGTGGGGGCAAGGAGGAATAATTCGAGCCACTTCAATGTGAAGAGCACAGGTCAATGATCATGTGTCCCTCTGAGGATGGTGTGGTATTAGCTCTGGGTCAGTGTTGATCTGAAGACCCTCCCATATCTCTTTCAGCCAGTAATTGCTTATCTGAACTTTCATTTGGTAATTTCACCCTTCTTGCACCCTGGAGACAGTTGGACCCAGGAGAAGGACCCCTGCAGGGACTACAGTTTCCCAATTCCAGGCAGAAAATGAATCCTGAAGCCGGGGTAATAGGCCAGGTCCCAGCTGTTCTTCATGGTCCTGCTGAGCAGCCAGTGTGGGGAGGAGTTCCTGTTCATCAAGTTGTCGCTTGTGCTCTGGGGTTGGGCTATATACTGTGGGGCTGAAGAGTACACCTCAGATGCTGTCTGAGCTGTTTGAGATAAGCTCTTTAAAGTTGTGATGGCTTGCAGAGGCTGGAGGCCCTTTACATCCTTGCATTTAAAGATTGTGGGAATTTTTTGCAAGGAAGGAGAACAGCTGTCCAACTAAGATACCTGCAGGCAGGAGGAGAGGGTGTGTGTGACACTTAGCTCTCTCTGCTTCCTCCCTTCTCAGGCTAGTTAAGGCATCCACAGGATACAGAATTGTTAAGAGGGGCCCTCCTGTCACACCCCTGAGCGCCTCAGCCTGGGGCTATTGGGTAGATTTGTTAATTTGATGGCAAAGTCTGGCCCCTTAAAGCTAAGATTGTTTTTTTGCCCTCAACACCCCAGTGGGTTTGCTTTGAGGGCCAGCTACTACTGTGAAATCTGTGGCAGTGGATCAAGATGTGCTCAACTGGCACTATTGTTGAGCTGTCTCCGCCCATTGTGTTTTAGTGGCAGCCACCCTCCTTGGAGTGGAGAAGTGTGTGCTGCCTTTGGGCCCTTGCCAAGTGAGCCGTTGAGACATTTAGCGTGTGAAAGGTACAGGCAAGAAGAAGATGCATTTAGTCTGAAGTCCTGGCAGGTTCTAGGACCCGACTTGATGAAAGATAACATTAAGAAAGCTGTTTGACAACTGGATAGCATTTAACTTGTCTCTCACTCCCTACTCTGTGAGTTCCCCGACGTCTTTAAGGCTCTTTTCTGCCCTCCATGCTGAAAGCATGACATGCTGTTCTCCATCCTGTTTCCTGGGGAGTCAAGTGTATTTACAGATCTGCAGATGCACTGGGAGGGCAGGGCTGGAAAACACTGGCTGTATCAACAGGCAGCACTGGCATTCTGGGTCAGACTTGGCCAAAGCCCGTGACCAATTTTCTTCCTTATCTGTAAAGTAGGTGTAACCATCATAACCTTACTAAGACCACTGAACTATGTTGCAAAGAAAAATGAGATACATTTAGTGACATGTGCACTGTAGTTGATGGGTACTAGGATAATACCACAACAATTTGGAACTCACATTTACATAATTTCACTTATCGAGTTGGGACCTGGATGGCAAATCAAAAGAAAGGTCATAAGTCCATGAGCTACAGTTCATGAATTTTGATCACTGGAGGAAATTTTATACCCTCTTTCAGGCCTCTGCATTTACTTCAAGTTTTAAGCGGCTTGGTTATTAGTTTGTCAAATACACCTAGCAAATTGGAAGCAACTGATACTGTACTGTGCAAGGATTATTAAAGATCTTTTATTAAGTATCAGTAAGAAGTAAGAGTAACACAAGAAACAGGAAAATTAAAAAAAATTTAAAAGGCCCAAGAATTCAAGGCATGGCATTCTAGAGCTAATATGAGCATTTAATGTAAGGAATTCAGTGAAATTTTATGTATTTTGATGGATCTTTGGTATTCTGTTTTATAACATAGTAACTGATGCTCACAGTGACCCACATGTATCCATAGAAGTTCAGATTGTATTTTGTTCATCCAATTTAAAAAGACATGAGAGTTTTGAAGTATCCCCAAATGATTTTTTCGCCTGATTCTTAGAGAAAAAACTGCAGCTATCCATGATAATGGCACCTGCGAGGTTTCTGGATAGCCGGTGGCTTACTGGTCAAAATTGTATTACAACTATAAAGCCCTGCTGTTGAAATTGAGAACTTTATGATCTTTTGTCAGAATTTATCAGGGAACTACTATGCTACTGTTATTATTAGTGGTTATGTTCTAACATTTGATGCTAAAGAAAATACTCCTGAACCTCAACCTGTCTTGTTATGATCAGGAAACACACTCAGAGTTCTTCCAACTTGATGACTTTAATTCTGGAGTTGGAAGAGACCTGATGATGGAAAAGATGGAGCGGGAGAGGTAGACCCTAGTGCCATCTGTTTCTTACATCTGTGTAGCAAATGTAGACTTGCCACTACCCGGATGTTGTTCAAGCTGTCATGGCCACACCTTTATGCTAAGCAATGGTGTTTTTCAGTTCAGACATCGTGCTGAAAACTGGAAGGTAGCTGAGATACACGAGCAGTGCTAAACTTGGCTTGACCCTCTGACAATGTGCTCAGTTGAAATTTGCTCCAAAACAAAGGCAAGAGGAAAAACAAAAGTAGGGGAAAAGAAATGTAGATACTTTTAAAATAGTATTTTAAAAATTCAGTACATATGTGGAAAATGAGAGGACCTAATTAAAAGTAATGGAAGAGTATTTCTCAGTTTCTAGATGCACATACATTCACTGTTTTGGTAACTTACTTGAAAAATTCTTTAACTAAAAGCAACTGTCAGTAACAGGTTATTGAATATAATTGCAAATACTCAGAACTCTCCAAGGGTTCCCTGTATCTAATTGTAATATGATGGAGAAAAGGGTATTCCCTGAAATCCCAGGGGCTTGGAAGGCAGAGGAGGTGGGGTGTGGTGGTGGGAAGTGACTGGACCACACTATCCAGAGGGCTGCCCTGTTGGGAGGCTTCACCTCCAACCTGTTGGGAGGTTGGAAATATGTGCTTGGGAGGCAGGACAATGATGGAAGTGGTGACTTCATGACTGATGGGACTCCCCTCCTCATTACTGTTTTTGAAATGCCAGGTGCAGCTGGAATTCTTGTAGATAAAGGGGGAAGCTTTATATCTAAATATGAAGTAGGGGTGATCTGAAAATGCCCTTCAGATTTGGGGAGCAAAGCCAGGGAGAAGCATAGGGAAGCTAGTCTCAGAAATCTGGAGATCTCTAATTATCGGTGGACCCTTGCATTGGGGTTTGGGCTCAACTTTTTAAAAATGTGTTATGTATGAATAACTGAGATCCAAAGAAAAGCTAATAAACAGACAGTAGAAAGATATGGAAAAAATAAAAGCGGTGTTATAAATACATGATGTGCTCTGCCGAATCTCAGTCACCAGTTTTAGTCTATTGAGTCATTCATTGGACTTCCAGGCTTAGCATTAGATGTTGAAACTATCTTAAGATCAGAGGAGCTGGATACAGTGGCTCATACCTGTAATGCCAGCTACTCAGGAGGCTGACACAGGAGGATCACTTGAACCCAGGAGTTTGAGATCAGCCTGGGCAATGTAGCAAGACCCTGTCTTAAAAAAAATAAAAGTAAAATTATCTGGACATGGTGGCTTACACCTGTAAATTCTAACTACTCAGGAGACAGAGGCAGGAGGATCTCTTGAGCCCAGGAGTTTGAGTCTACCATGAGCTATG